CAAAATCTACCTATTTTTGGATTGGTATATAATTTGTAGTAAAAGTGTGGACTACACGGGTAATAATAAATTATGAATATTTTTGGTAATAAAATTTGATATATGGTATAGATAGGTAAAAGTCCCTTTTATGAATTGAATCACCCCAAAGATAGGCCCAATTTCGGATTCTTTAGCCCAACACCATTCAATCCATCAGCCCTTACCCAATTACATTTAATCCAACACCTTTGACCTGGCGTCCAGTAGCTCCCGCCCCGTTTTCAATTGCAAAATCTTGGCCATCCATCCACTTAGATCCAACGTCCCCTGTTATTTGCCCATACCAAATATAATCCTCATTATAATTTTTTAAATGCAGCGCTAAAAATTCTTAAGAACAATCGCAGTCTACCCTTTCCTCTCTGACCCTTTGCCGCCGCCTCTGATTTCTCACTGTGAATACCACTAGAACGAAAGACCTCCCAAAGGCGTTCTTGAAACGAAAGTGCGATAAGGGGTTAAAGAAAAATCCAAGAAGAACTCTATGTCTTCTTTTTCCTCTTTTGGAATTCTAAGACAAAATACCAAAACACAAAAATTTTTGATTCTTGTTATAGTTTTCTTCCTCAAGACACAAGAAGTAATAAAAAGGTTTTTTCAATTTTCCTTTAGTTTTCTTATTCAAATCCAAAATAAAAATCACTAAAATATATTGGTTTCTTATTGCCTTTGATTTCGAAAAAGAAGCTAAGAATCATTCAAATAGAGTTAAGTTAATTGTTTCAGGTTTGTTCAGGTTTTCTGATATGAGCGTTGAGCTCAGATTTGTTCGCGGATCCATCGAGGTTGTCGCATCCAAGGTTTCTGGTCCTAAACATTTTCTGATTCAAAGAGCTTTCGCTCCTGAGTTGATCGAGTATTCCGGTCTAAGTGGAGAGGGTCGATTTTGTCGTCGGTGTGAGGTTCTGTTCGAGGCTCCGTTGTGTTCCTATCCCCGTTGGCATCTTTGGTCGCTGCTCAATTTTTTCAGCCGGATTTCCATTGCTCTTCAACATACAGAACTTTAAACTCAGAGTTTCATTAATCGAAAAGAAATCCGCTCACTAAGATCCATTTCTTATACCTATTTTGTTTCATCTCATTATACTAGTTGATGAATTGTGTTAATTGTTTGTGTCTCTTTTATCCTTTGTTTATTTAATTTAGTTTGCTTGATCAGTTCATTGCCTTGAGTTCATCATAAACTTGGAAGAATACTTTAAGTCATTAGGTGGATAATTGAAATAAAAAATGGATATTATTCATTGCTGAAACTCAGCGGGTCGTTGGAGTAATAATTTTGAATTAACTGAAATGAACCAAAATAATTGAATGACAAAGAACAATTGATGGCCTCGTGCTGCTGTTTCACTGCCTTTAAATTTATTTTATTTACTTAAGAATCACTAGTAGCATATTTAGGTCGACCATACCTGGGTAGGCAAATATTAGGTCTTTTATTTAGTTTCCTTTTTCGAGGTTAGAGGTTGGCCCTTCATTTGTTGTTTTATTTGGGGAATGCCCCGAAGACCATGTAAATATTTAATCGGGGGAATGGCCCGTAGTATTATGTAACTAGAGGCCAAAGACGGGATGGTATTGAGGAAGCGTAGGATGGAACCTTAGTTTTTTATTTTTATTTCTTCGTTTGTTTATCTTTTATTTAGGCAGGGACAACCTCAAATCTTTTTGTGTTTGTTTTCTTTGTGTGTTTTACCTCAATTAAAATATTCTTAAAAGCCAATTTTATCAAGTATGCAATCGTACTATTTACGGGATTCGGGAAATGCCTAATACCTCCC